ATTTCGTTCATGTATTACAAAACATTCGATCATGGATTACAAAAAATTCTATCATGGGTTACCAAAAAAAAAAAAGCAAAAAATTCGATCATGGATTACAAGAAAAAAAAACAAACATTTCGATCATGGATTACAAAAAATTTGATCATGGATTACAAAAAATTCTATCATGGGTTACAAAAAATAAAAAATTCGATCATGGATTACAAAAAAACAAAAGCAATTCGATCATGGATTATAAAAAATTCTATCATGGATTACAAAAAAAAAAAATTAAATAAAAAAAAAATAAAAAAAAATTTCCGTACGGGACTCTCCGATTCACTGTTCGGACTCGCGATTCCATACAGTGAATCGGCGAGTCACTGTACAGAATCGTCCGGTTCTCTCTAGAACCGGACGATTTTCGATTTTTAGCCGATACGATCCACTTTTTGCGATTTCCGAGTCGAACCGGGCGAGTCCGGTTCGACTCGGCGATTTTTAAAACACTGATGGAAACCATAACGTGGTGACTATAGTGTAGGGATGCTACCACTACTACTTCAACCCTTTTTTCAAAATTTAAGCCTTAGGACTAATTGGAAAGCAATTGGAGCCCATCTTGTGCTAAAAGTAAATGGCCGAATAATCGACAAAGTTAGTATTAAGGTTGTTATAATCAATCAACCTTCATTCCTTTACGTATGTACATGCACAAACTGTTCTTTAAGCTCCACTGTTTTAGTCGAAAGCGAATCAATCACATCTTTTTACTCAATTTACACTTCAGATATACTTATGATCTATCATCAAGGCCTTGCTACTACCCAAAAGGAGATATATTCTATTGAAAATTGAATAAAAAAAAATAAAATAATTTAAGCAAATTTTTAGAAGTTTGTTTTGAAAAATTCTTTTAGAAAATGATATAATATGGTATGGCAATAATTTGTTTTAAAAATTGAACTTTTATGGAGTTACTTTGAAAATTACACCTTTGAGAATATTTTTTTAGAAGATTAGAATATTTTTGAAAATCATTTAAAGAGAGTTTTATAACTATGATACAACTTTGAAATAAAGAGCATGTGTATACATTTTCTCTCTCGGGAAAACAATTGGGAGTTTTTTTCAATTTGAAATTCCGTATTCCATCTAATTATCACTAGATGATTATTTTCAAATAAAAGAAAAAAAATTAGATTTTGAGTTCTTGAACATCTAGATCATTCCCTCGAAAAATTGGATGGTTCTAGTGCAATCTTGGGATGCCATTTTTTTAAGGCACATAGAGAGTGGGAGTAAATTATTTTTTCCATTGAGGTTAGTTGCTGGATCCGAATATACCATCCCCAAAATTTGGGATCTTAAAAATATTTTCTGTGTAAGTTTTGCACAATGGAATACATATATAATATACTCTCGAGGGATTAAGAAATATTTTGGCTAAAATAAAACGATGGACAAGTGATTGAGTTGTAGAACATATTAGTTTCAACAAAAGTAAGAGTATTTACTTTTGGTATCACTATTACTATTGACTATTAGATGCGAAATTGGGTGGCTGAGAATGTATCATTAATTAAGTACAACATTTAAAATAAAACTTCTCATAAGCCGTGACATATTTCAATTCATTAAATATCACATCTAACATATAATAATTAAAAATAATTGTGATCTTTATGTATCAAAAATAAATGAATTCATTATATACAATCCATCCCAAGCAACAAAAAATTGAGCTTTGAATGATATTTTTATGCCATAGAGGCTGGCAAATTTCCCAATGAAGGCCATCTAAATCCATGTATCAAAGGCACAACTATTACATGAAAATAATGGTCATTAACTTTCCCAATGAAGGCCATCTAAATCCATGTATCAAAGGCACAACTATTACATGAAAATAATGGTCATTAACTATAGCCCCGTCCGTTACGTGATTTAACGGTGGCGGGAGCATGAAATAAAATAATCAAAACTTACACCTGTATCATAAAGCAGTCTCATGGCCGTTATCATGGAGGTAGGTTAAACATGGGAAATGACCATCAAGGAAAACATTTCTTGTGTCTCAAGCGACATTAATTTCATGCATTTAGATAAGGAAGAAGTTTATACATAGCCGAGGCTCTAAACAATCAAATTAGAGCTCGTCACAAAATTTTTTCTGAAAGAAGCTGTTTTGATGCTCAAATATCATCAAATTGATTACCTCGACATTAAGATGCATGGACATGAGAAAAAAATGGATTTCAAGTTTTGAAGATAGTGCATCTTGTAATGCATTTTTGGGCCGTCAATTTTCAAGATTTTCAAGTTTTCACAGATCTGCTTGATCTACACTATTTTGAAGCTTTAAATTTGATAATTAAAAATAAAAAAAAATATTTTAAGGCTATCATAAATATTTTAAATATTGAAATCATATTTCTCGATATTATTTAAAGGTGGGCTCGAATTTGATGGTTTAGAGCCTTGGCTCTATACAAACTGCACCTTTTAGATAATTATAGCCCTTCATTTTTCACTAGGAGTGAGGTTCAACAAATGGTGCACTAGAACTAATTGGAAGATCAACTTTAAAAATCTAATTAAATTCATCCATAATCATCATCATTAGAGTCTTTTTCTAGCTATCTAGATTAATTTTAACAGAGAAGGCTTTTTATGTAACCACACCTACATTTATATTGCATGTGGCCCCCTAGTCTTAGCCATTAGGTCTAAGTAGAGGGCTAATATGGCTTGAGTCACAATGTCACAAATGGGCTTTTAACCGTCAGATCTTTGATCGGACGGCTCAAAGTTTTTTATTTTTAAATTTTATTCTATAAATCATTTTAAAGCAAAATTTGGAGCATGCATAGATCTGACAGGGGCACACATGATAAAAATAATAATAAAATATTTTCGATGATGAAACACATGAAACACGTGAAATGGATGAAACACATAAAAATAATAATAACAATAATATTTTCAAAAAATACCTTAAGGCATGAAACGCATGATATAGTCATACAATCTTTATTACTTATTGCATATGTATATGTTCATAAAATCTTTATTACCGTATTACGTATGTATTTTTTGATTAAATCTATTTTTTCTAACATCATCTCTTTA